TTTAGGTGTAATGACAAACGATGCGTCTCTCTTGGCTCTGTTAAAAGCAGCCCTCTGACTTCCAGCTTGAAAATGCAGTCCTACAGACAGCTCAACGCCTAGACATCAGCCAGCCAGACCTGGTGATGACAAGGGACTGGAAAAATCTTTCTCTTTTCCCAAGCTTCCATCAGAATGGGAACTCTATGTTACAGCAGGCAGAGAACTCACCTTTAGTTTGTGCTGGTGTGGACAGAGCCCACGTGCAAATCGCTTCCTCTCTCAGACTACGGGAGGAAAGCGGCTGGCCTGGAGGCACTAGAGACATTTCAAAGCAATCACTGCCTATTAATCCCAGCATTCTGATGTTTTTAATACACTATGAACCCCACCAAACCTGCCACTTTTGTATTTCCTCTTGGACTTGCTACATTCCCAATACTTTAGAGATAAATAGGAAAGATTTTGGATTCCAGTGGTGACATACTGCACATGAACATTTAAAGCAACGTCTCAAACAAAGGTAACAGCTGGGACAAGAGAGGCATTTTTCTTTTAAAGATCTTGAATCACTTCACAGAAATAAAACCAATCCCTCTTCTGCAAACCTGCACCAGCCAAGTGTGCCCCTGTTATTCCTTTCTACAGGTAAGAAGATGAGGCAAGAGTAATGAAGTGATCTGCTCAGATCAAACAGTGGCTCAGGAGTACAGACAGAAATAAAACTCTTCATCTGTGTAAGCCCCATCACTATCGTACCTACGTGACTCTTACACATTTAAAAAAACAATATGTTTTCTCTTTGAAATAATTTGAATTAATTAAAATGACAGTCTGCTCCTTCTGGGAGAGAACGCTCTTGTCTAGCAGACAGCTCTGGTTTAAAGTGTCTCCCCAAATCACAATGCCTTTTGTGTGTAAGACAGGAAGGATGTATCTCTGTTTTGCTGGGTTGTATCGAAACATGGGCTTCACCAGTGGCTTCAAAAAGATGTTTGAGTGCCCTGGGTCTCAGTAAGCAAATGTGCTGGATGAGAGCTTACTGTTCAATGTGATTCACCGAGTTTTGGCCATGAGGAAGTGTCTGAGCCATTCCAGGAACTGCTTTTCAGGCAGGCAACTTGTCAGAGAGAGACAGAAACAAGTGGGCACCGAAGTTTCAAGTACACAGTCAAGCACCCTGGAGCCTTATCCTGGGAACAGTCCATTAGACCAGAAAATGCTGTTTCTGTAGGTCATGGCCACACGCTTCCCTTCTATAGCCGCAAAATGATTAAGAATCTTAATTATATTACTTAATTGTCCAAGGGTCTTAAATTGCTAAGAAAATACATACACAAAAAGGCTACGAATGTATTTTAGAATGACCTATAGATGACTACAATGCTCAGGAGTCTGAGCAATTCACAGAAGCAGGAAGACTCGGTCTACGGCAGATCACTCTAGCAGAGAAGAACCCTAAACTGTTCCATGCACTAAAGCAAGCTCACTGCTTGTTTGTACTCCAGCAGTCACGCAGACACCACCATGACAGGTCCTACAGAACCATGACAAACTTGCCCCAAGTTTTGTGATGTATCTATGTATTGGGCGAGAGGGCAAGAGAAGTATAGAGAAAAGGAGCTGACCTGTGTATGACCAAACTTACACTGGCAAGCTGGGTGTGGGCACAGCCCGAGACCTCTGAACCTCACTGCTATGCTTTACTGCACACTCTAAATGGACGTCACAGCGTACCCATCCCAGCCAAGGTGGCACCCCTTGAGCTTACCCCAGGCAGACAGAACTCTTGCAGAGAGGACACCAGCCTTGACATATTTGCAAAAGGCTTGTTAAAGTCTGAAGCACTTCACTTCTGATGTGTGGAAAGAAAATACAGATTTTGTTTCTGGTGTGCGGATGGATCATTCATCTATCCCAGCTCAGGCTTCACCGATAGAATACTTCATCAATTCAGAAACCCAGTCAAAGAACGTAGAGGCCAGATGCCATGACTGAACTGAACTGAACCACTGCACTAACCCTTGCTGACAAGAAAAGCTATCCATTCCTGACTATGGTGCCTGTAAAATCAGCTGCCATAACATATGCCAGGGGATGTCTTATCCAAGTTCTGAGTCTGAAAAGGGAGGCAAAACCTAAGCCGTGAGGACACCAAGTGACGTGTACTCTCTGTAGTCCTTTGAATTTGATTCAGCTGCTCCATCTGTTCCCACTCCAATGACACGTTTTTGTGCTGGGGCAGGAACGTAGGCTGCAGAAATTCTCTGAGATGCCTGTTCATCTCGCAGGCAGCATGACATGGCAGTGTTCTCTGTCTTAAAATGTTCAAGAGCAGCAAACAAACAGGCAACTCACAAAGTAAAGTCAGGTAACTCAACTGAGAAGACAATCCTCTACCTGGGTGGAGGCTTATTACCCTGCAGAAGGCAGCTGGCTGAAAAAAACTGAGGAGAAGGAACCTAAGACTGATGGGAATATATGACTTTATCTCTCAATGGCAACAAGATTTCCTTCTCCCCTGGGTCCTGCTGCTTACTGGGTCAGGTTTTTTCAGCAGAATCTCCTGCTCTCCAAAGACAGTCCTGAAGGGTTAAGAAGTTTCTGAAAGGAAATTCATGGGAACCTGCTGAAGGCACACGTGGAAAAGCAAGCGTTGGTAACATGGATCAGCTCTGCCTTCCCAAAAATCGAGCCTGGCACTGCTCCAGCAAACAAATCAGTTATCGGTTGCCTCAAGGTTCCTTTGCATTTGATGACTAGCCTTGATTTAGTGATGATCAAGCTCTTCGTTATATTTAAATCCTGCTACATGCTCTTTAAACAGATGGGAGATAATAATTTAGATCTGCTTGATTTTAACTAGGTTAACCATGGCTGGTGACAGTTAAACCCCTTTCAGAAGGACACTTCACTCTGATGCCAACCATAGCTGATGGTTACCAAAAGTGGAAAAACAATGACTAGTTTCAAAATGGTGACAGGTCAGTCTCAAAAAGAGAATGATTATCTGAAATCTGCCCAGAGCTCCGAAATGAATCCAAACACCTCAGCTCAGGACTTCAGCTAGTCAATCAGCACAGAACTGAAGCAGCTCCATTGATTCACAGCCGCTGTAGATCCAACCCTTTGATGTTCCAGCAGATGTTCCAAGTATTTCTGTAATTTTTTCAGAGCCCAAGCCCCCAAGTTAAACAGCTTGTTTAACTCTCTGAGGTTTTATCTGACCTGGTACACTAGAACCACAACCAATAATGAACTCATTTATATAGTGCTTGTCTGGATGTCACTTTTAGTTGCCACAGGCTTTGTAAAGGTGCTCCTGTTTCTCCTTCAGCATCAAATTTCTTTCCATTTACATCCTCATCCTACAGTACCTGGTTAACTGTCTGGACAGGACTTGAGGCTTAGGTTCTGTCCTGCCCCCGCAGCATCTTTCTATTCAGAAGCTGCCCCCTGCATCAAAATTAAATGCATAATGCAAAATCCTTGAACTTCTGCACGGGCAGTGCTGGAGGACTTACCTGCGAGTCTGTAGGATCTGCAGAGCCGAAGGATGATGGAATAAAGAGGCAGAGAGTCGATCAGGTCAACCAGCAAGTGTATCAGGCCTTGGACAATCACCACCAGCAATCGCAGCTACAGAGAAACAGTTCAATAAGGAAATCTCAGAGAAACAGGAGATGCAACACTTGCAAATTAATGAGCTGATCTGCAGCCTGACATCGTTGTGTGCGAAGCTAAAGCCTCCCAAAGTGGGCTGGATGTCTGGAAGGGTTGGGCATCCCGACCCTGCACGAGGTTCCTGGACAACCTGAGATTAAGGGTGTGACTGAAATGAAGCCCCTGCAGCTGCAGAGCCTGTGACCTGCGAGGACGTGAGAGCTATTCCGCTCTCAACAGAGCCTAGCAGGGAGAGTTCAGCCTGCTGTTTCTGAACTCCATCCCCGTGTACCAGGGAATGTAAATTTTTCTCTCTCCAACAGTGAACTGAAGTCACTTATTTCTGCCTGAAGGAACCACATGGAGAGCATCTACGTAAGTGCAAAGTGTTCAGAAACGAGGTTCCTGCTCTGTGTTTTCTGTCCCCTGGTTAAACCACCTCCTTTGTCAGACTGCATTCATTTTTGCTGAAAAGAGAAAGCTCAAAAAAAAAAAGATGGTGAAACCATGTGATGGCTACTGTCTATGGAAAACTTTGCTCCAGGCAGGCCTCGGAGAGGACTGGTCATACTGGGGAAAAAAAGAAAAATAGAAAGTCCAACCCTCTGACCAAAGCCCAGCTGAAAGCGTTTAACACAGCAAGTTACCCTCTGGAAAAAAAAAAGTTCTGGATCAGACTAGAGGGGCCGTCACCCCAGACGTGGGATGGAAAGACAAAAAAATGACTTCCGAGTGAAAGAGAGTGGAACAGCTTGTCCTGCTGACTGGGATTCACTGGGAATTCCCTCTGGGGAAAAACAAACACGTATCCCGAATTCCACTTGCCTGCATGGGCGGTGCGAGAACCCCTCCTGGGATGTTTAGACTAGTCATATATTTTCTTTGTGGATGACAGTAAATGACTAGGAAACTTTATTTTAATATCTCAGCAGACAGTATAGGACTAGCTTCAAGGGTTAAATCTTACCAGGGTAAACACCAAATAATACAGCGCAGTGGTAGGCAGGAGGAACAGCAGGATTGTAAATAGCAAAGTGCCAATAAATAACTAGGGGAAAAAAGAAACACAGTCATTAGCAGAGCAGTGGCAAAATAAAATAAAATAAAATAAAATGGAAACAGTGAGACAATGAAAGTTTGCAAGACTCCTTAACATTTTTTTCACTCCCTATGCGAATAATGCTGTTACCTTGAATATTTTCAGTATTTTCAGAAGGCTCCTTATTATAGGAGGAGGTTTGGAAAGATAAAGAAGCTGGATCCTGACAGCATTTTTTCCTTTATAGACAATACTCAAGATTTCCTATTTCAGGCTGGCTTCCTTATGAAACAAGACTTATATGATCCCACTGTTTGTCCGCCCCTATCCCCATTTGGATTTAACTGGTTTTAAACCCATTGGTCAGTTTTTACCAGAAAAAGGGGGAAGAGTAAAACGAAGCAGAAATTTGGTAGGGAATTTTGTAGTGAATTGAGAAGTCTTTTTGTTCCTCCTTCTCCTGTTGGAACAAGGAGCTGGGGAAAAGCTGACAAAATGTGGTTGGTAAACATTCCCAGCAGCAGCAGCCGGCTGGGCAGCCCAGCCACAGGACTTCTGCCTCCTGCTCAGTGGGAAACTGGGTGAGACTGGTGGGGGACAGCAATATTTAGAAGATGAAGGAGAAAAAACCATAGGAAAGCAGGTGTCATTAGCTCCACTGCCCACAGAAAAACTTATTTTTATTCTGGGCCAGCCCAGTTGGTGTAAGTCCAACTCATTCCAACTGAGAGAAATGCAGTTTTATGACAACTAGGGATCTGGCTCTTCAATTTTCAGTCACCGCTTGCAGAACAGAGAGGCCACAGGACCACAGGGCGCTGCTGTTTCTGCAAAAAGAGATCATGGCCCTGGTACATTCTAACAGAAAATCACCCAGCCAGCCCTGTCGCTGAGGGGGATCCACATCCCAGCTCTCCACACGTAACCAGAAATAGATCATAACCCAGCCCGTTCTCTTCGCAGCAGTTGTTTCTCCCCTCCTCTGTCACTCCACTGCAGTTGTTGAACATCTCCTGAAGTCTCTTCAGGTCTCCTTTGAATGTCTCTTCCCACCCAGGCCAAGGACACAACTCCCCCTGGCCTCCCGAGCAGCAGGGTGAAGCCTGAACTCTCCTCAAAGTACCCGGGGACTGAGCCCTGGTGCAAGCTGCTGGCATGGAGGCTCTTACTTTTCCATCACCAAAGAAAAATAGAAAACAGATCACAGAAAAATAGCTCCTTCACCGTGATGTAAGCAGCTCAAGGTTATCTGCTGCAATGCAGAGAGAGGCACGGGCCCTGGAAGTTACCAAATATTATTTTAGTGATGTTTGGAACTGCCAGCGTGGAGCAGTTCAGGCTCTGCTGAACTTCTGCACGGCACTTCAGAAATTAAAAAGAGCTTACAGCGTTTGGCAAAAACCTGCCTCTGCTGCTGGAGTGAGAACGCGTGGGCCAGGCTCCAGCGCAGCGTGAACGAAACGGGGCTTTTATAGAAACACCGGCACCTCCGTTACTGTGGCAACACTGCTGGGCACCACTTTTTAAATCGCCTCCCTCCTCCGTACCCGCACCGGTGCTCCAGGAGCTGCGAGCATCCACAGCACCCACTGCAGTTCCCCAGGGTGCTTGCAGGTGCTCAGCAACTGCCAGAATTAGGCGCCCTGAACGCGCAGGGAAGGGAAGGGATGCTGCAGAGCAGCAGAGTCTGAGCATTTGGTTGAAGACCTGCAGAAGTGCTTGTTCTGGGCACCACAAAGCCTCCCGTGGCTTCTGTCTCAATATTAGCCAAAGCAGGACAGGATTGCATTGCCTGCGGGCAGCATCCTGCAGCGAGCCCCGGGCGTTGCAGCACTACCTGGTCCAAGTCATAGGAGCAGGAATCCACCCGCTGCCGGAGGACATTCCACTTCTTCCCACGGAACAAGCGCCAGAGAGATGACAGGCCGTAAATCTTCAGGCAGTAGAGCCTGAGCAAAGAGAAGATGCTGTGCATCAGAGCTGCGAGCTCCCGAGCTTCAACACAAAACAGCTGTCAGCATCACACCCCCGTGCCCACTCACTTACCGATGCCGCAGAACTGGGGGCAGCAAAAGAAACCAGCCTGCGAATGACGCAGATAAAACACTAATTGCTCAGTCAACTGTACTTGGGCTGGCCCCCGGCACGGGCAAACCAGGCTAGTGAAGGGAGCTCTGGACCACCAGAGGGCAATGGCCATGCCGTGCCCTGGGCAGTGGCCAGGCTCTCGATTTCTGCCCCTGCTGATGACGATGCTGGCATATAGGAAGTGGCAAGTGCTGCTGGAGGGTGGCCCCTGGGAGCCGCAGCAGTCACCAGCCCCATGCCACCACCTTCCCTGCAGCAAAGGAAGCAGCAAGCTCATTCCCCCGAGCTCACCTCTGTCTCTCCAGTTTCGATCCGCCCTGTTCCCCTGGCTTCACACCCCTTCCGTGGCGGCAGTGGCCAAGCTCTTACCCCTCACCCTTGGAGTCAAGGCAATTCAATGTTGCCTCCGCAGCACAGAGAGGCAAAGGAGCCCCTGCACCTTCTTTACTAACCCACAGCTTCCAATATCCTTAAGTGTGGGAAGAGATCAACTAAATGGCTGGTGGTCCCTACTGCATCCTTTCCTTAGGCTTTTGCAACTTGGTGCTACCACACTTGGAGCTAATTCCCTCCCAAAAAAATGGCAAAGCTGAGAGAAACTCGGGGTGATAAGGGGTAGGAAATGGAGACTTCTACGGAATAACATAGAGGAAGAAAGAGCCCCTGGGATGGAGAAGAGGCATGAAGAGCCCTGAGCAGCACTGTCTGGCACACAGGGATGTAAAGAAGGACATAGCCAGTCTGGGGGGCAGAACACAGCCTGAGAAAGCCTGAGCTACAAAAGCCAGACAGGTTAACCAACCTAGTTAAGGCGTGGAGGCTGCTCAGATTTCAAGGCAGTGTTGTGAAAGCAAAGGCAATGAGTCTTATCCAAGAGAAGAATCTGGTTTGAGGAACACCAACTGCTTCAAGGAATTGGCAGGGAGCCCTCAGACTGGCAGGCACAGCGCGATGCACTAATCCCTATGCAGGAGGGTGCCCAGGACAACTCCTCCAGGTTGCTGGGACACACCTGCCCCATGGCTCTAAGGCCACACGCTCCCCCTGATGTGACACCAAGCGGGTGTTGCTGCTGTAGCAGCTGCCCCACCTTCCCTGGCTGCCTGCACACACACGCCCGCTCTCGTTTCACTGGGTGGTTTGTTTCAGAAGGGGATCTCGGGCTTCACCGGCACCTGAATCAGCAATTCTTCCGCCAGCTGATGTTGTGGTGGCTGTGTTGGTGTGGGTGGCTGCTGTCCCTTCCTGACTCTCCATAGGGGCACCTGGCACAGCAGGGGCAGCTTGGTGCCAGCGACAAGACAACATATACCTGCTTCATACTTCTAACGAACATCTGAGGAGGCTAGACTGGCTCCTGCAGCTCACAAGGGAAAAACAGCCAGCTGAGAAAATGCTTTCCCTGTTTCCCCTTTCTGCGTGACTAGGAGGAGCCAGGCCACTCCTCACAGACCAAAACAGAAATTTCAGTAATTAGAGGTGTTGGGAGGAGACTCCCCATTGCTGACACCACTGATTTCGCACATAAGCCCTATGCTCCCAACAGACCTGATTCATCAATCATATCTCAATATTTCTAACCATTCTCTAAACTACCTGTAACTAAAGTTCTATTTCTTCTGTTGCTTGCAATGTAATGCCCTCTGCTCACAGCCTGGGGAGGAACAACGACCATTCTGTACTTTATAAGCCTAAAGTGTCTTTATTACCTTGTCTCTCATCTCCTCAGCAAGAGCAGCTATCCTCCGGCATGCTGCGCGATGCCTTGCTGCAGCACGTGCTCATGGAGGGCAGGAACAGGGCACAGTAACCGTGCAAACCCTGGACGTGCCCCAAAGCCCTCTGCACCCCCATACACACCCTCTGAGCCTCTGCCTGGCTCTCAGGCCACGGGTCCCTCCAGCAGGTCCAGACAAAGACACCACGATGGTGTCACAGCCACGCTGTAACCCCAAACCTGCCATCTGCACTCCACAACACAGACAAGAGCCTCTGAAGCAGGGCAGAGGCAGGGACTTGGGGGCTCCTCCAGAAGCACAAGGGTTCCCCTTTCCTCCTCTCCTCCAGTCCCCCTCAAAACTACTGGGTAGGGTGCAAGTGGAGAGAGTACTGTAACACCGAGCCAAAGGGATGGGGTGAACTGCTTTCTCATCCTCTGCCTGTCATGTAGTTTTATTTTTCCAGGTCACTGCCACAATAATAAATATTTAAATACAGAACTGAAAAATTGGTTGCTTGTACTGCTTCGGCCATGACTTCTATATGCATAAATTAATTGGTGGCTAACCTGTGAATTCAAGAGAACTACACCAGGATTGAATTCTCCCCAAATTAAACACGTGCCCCAAGTGTTCAGTGGTCCTTCTCTCCAAACATACCCAAAACACAACCAAGGGAGATCGACTCACCTGGCTCCGTACACATAGAAGCAGTAGATGTGGAAGGTGAGAAGCGCGATGATGTCGGAGAGGATGCAGAGAGCCACGGTCAGGCCCAGGCACGCCGACAGACCGACGTACCAGAGGATCATCTCAATGAAGGGGGACAGCAGGTGGATGTAGCCTAGAGGACATTGCAAAGTGTCAGGATTTGACCGAGACATCATCCTGCTGACACTCTCAAAAGACTGATTCTCCCCGCCCCAGAACATTGCTCCAGAAATCAGAGCAATGAAAACATGGAAGTAAAACTGGAAAACTCCTTCAGATGCCATCTTCTGCTTAGGAGGGCCACAAAAACTCTCCTTCCCCCTAGGTTTCTGTCTGGTGGGGCAGCTCTGTGAGGAAGGGGAGGACATCCTCAGCTTGAACAGAGCAGTCACCTTGCTTCACGTGTGATTTGCTTTTCTAGGTTTATGTCCAGATACCTAATTACACTTTTAACTGCACACAACAATCTTTACTGCAAAACCATTCCCCTTTTCCTCCTGTTCCCACATACGCCATCCCATATGGCTTTTGTAACATAAAATAGTCTGGAGGCACACAGTCTTTTTCATCACCAAAGTGGAGCAAAGTCACAGAAACGAGACCATACTCGATTGGTGAGCAAAGTCAATCAGTACAGCAACCGAGGAGTTCACGTCCATCATGACTGTACTCCTCACCAAGACACTCATCAAGGATAACAAGGGTGTGTTACTTCAAGGAGGGACTTGAAATAACAAAATTGCACTAAGGTGAAGTCAGTGACAAGACAAGGTTGGCATCTGCATCCCCAGATTGTGCTTCTCATCCCTGTCCTCTTAATGGCAAAGACTACAAGAGCCTACATGAGACCTAAAGCCTTTCCTTGGACACTCACCACTAATGCACTAAGAAAGCAAGCTCCGTCGTGACTTGCACTTCTTGCAAAGCATCGGTACAAGCACTTTATTTAATATGCATGACTTCCTTGTGTGGGAATCCAACTTTGAACTGAGTTCCCACAGCAGGAAGACTCGCCGACAAGTCTGTACTTGCAGAAGTGCATTTTGATTCATTATTCACCTCTAGGCAAACATTAAACACTTGGGAGGGAAGAGATGAAAAGGGAGGCTGAAAAGTTAAACAATTGCACTTACTAATCCAAAGATGGATGTGGTAAAGGAAGAAGCGGCCCAACACCTGATCCAGCGCTCGGTTCATTTTCAGTCCAGCTGGTGCTCCCATTAGCCACTGGAGCAGGTCCTGGAGCTCTTCAGCTACGTGCTACAAACACATGGAAGCAAGGCACCGGAGATAAAACACTGTCCCTGCACTGACCAGATCCAGCGTGCTCTACATGCTGCTCCCCCAAAGTATTCCTACCACACCATTCAAACCAAAAATCCAAATGATGACTTTACAGACAAGCAGTTAAATCAGAAATGCACCTTTATTGACTCCTTACTGAACCCAAAGACAACAGCAGAGAGGAAGCTGAACTGCTGGAATGGTCTCAAGGCTGAGAACACAAACCCGGTGCTTGTTTGTGGCCATCTCTGGTGAACTGGCACAGTGTGATTTTGTGGTGTAATGAGAGCTCTTGAAACAGATGGCAAGTGCTAGTGCACAAACAACCATCGTTGGACAGTCAACTGAAAAATCAGAACTGAGAGAGCAATCTGACTATGGGGGAGGCTGTCAGGAGTTTTAAAGGGGTACAATGGCTGTGCACTCGTGGGCAAAAAAGGCAATTTTTTACCACAAAATAACCTGTATGTGTTTACAGCAGGGCAGAAAAACAATTATATAAACATACTTCATATACAAACAACGTTTCTGGATACTCTGTGGTGCACTAGGCAGGATTAACCATGGTGTATACCACTGACCACGTCTGACACTATCTCATCTCTCCTGTAGACTTCCCAGAGGTACCCATGGCATCCCAGAAAGCAAAGAAGCCCTCCGAGTCCCTGAGAACCAAGCCTGATCATCCCCAAATCACTGAGGACTTTGACCGACAATTTCTGGCGATTTAATGTTCTTTACCGATTTTCCCTCTCCACCTTGCTGCTCTGCCAGAGGTCTCCTTGCAGTGGGCAGGGCAGGGGATGGGGTGGCTCTGCTCCTCGGCAGTTTGCAGCTGAAACCACCGGTGAAGTGCATTCACCAGGCTGTGAATGGAGGTAGCGGAGAGCGGTAACAGGTGGGGAACGTACCTGGAAGAAGCGACCTCTCACATTGTCCTGCATGAACAGAGATTGTGAGTAACAGCCTTCCACCTCTGAAAACCCCGCTTACAGCCAAGACCATGGATGCGAACTGCACTGCAAATGGTGCACGCACAGAAGAATCAACACGTGCTACCTGGAGCTGGTGCACTGTAGCCTACTTTCCCCATCAGTCACATGGACAATTTCCCCAAGGGCAAATAATTTCCAAAGAATGATTCTGTTTTATTTATTAACCAACAGGAGCCTTGCAAAACGAGTTTGTAAACATCTACTTTTAGTGTAGCAGCAAAATTAAGAGCTCCATCTTCTACACCTTTTTATTTTATTCATTTTCCCTCTGTCTCAACGTCCCTTAAAACATCTCCCTGCAAGTCAGAACTGATGTGAACCCATGGATCTTACCTCTGTGGCTGAGAAGTGTTAGCTACTTTATAAATAGACTGCTTTTAATATTTAAAGTGTTGGATTGGTAACTCAGAAAAAGCATTTGGGGATTGTAATGAAATATTTAAATGCTTGAAAGCAGTCCTTCAGCAGGGCTGTACTTCAGCACTGAATGCTCCTGGAGGCTGCCAGTCCCAGAGGTGCTACTAAATTCTGAGAGGGCACGTAGCTCTGGGAAGGTGCCCTACCTTGCCGTTATTTAGCTGGGCGAAGGATTTACAAACATAGTCCGAAGGCACAACCTCGCAGGATGTTTTCCAGACAGATATTTTAGGACTGATCAATAGCAAGCAGAATCAGAAAAGGTGACAAGGAGTACGATCTCCTGTTGCAGTCACGAATACTGAACGTGGCCGGTATTTATAAATAAGACGCAGTGATTTACATGGAAGTGGTTCACAAAGGGCTGTAGGGACATTACCAGAGTGGAGTCTAAAGCTAACATGGTTTCGATGAGAGCACTGTGGAAATATTTTCTTTCCTGTCATGCTCTTCTTTCTACTCTCCATATGCAGATGGTGTAATGGTGATGTGACTTCGATGGAGAAGGACGCTGCAGGTGGGCACTGGGAAGAGCACCAGGCAAGCTCCTGAGCAGAGCATCCAGCACAAGCCAGAGCAAAGCACTCCCTACCCGACACATTCGCCCTGTGTCTGTTGCAGGCGTTTGGGGCTCTAAGTGATACTGTTTTGCAAATTAACACCTAAGAGTATTTTCCAGGAAGCATCCTCGCTGTTCGCTTTGTTTACGGATTAGCAGAACATGACTGAATAGGAACTTACATCCAGTTATCTCTAAGCCCCAGTAACATTTTTGGAGGCAGGATCTATGATAAACACTTCACTGTTTCAAAGAGATTACAGTTTAAGAAAAAGAGACATCAGCAAGGATGAAAGAGGTGAAGGAGAAAAAAAAAGAAGATGGTTTATAAGCAGTTCTTCTTCTTAAAAGAGACAAATGTAGCTCTTTGAATCGGGTATTTTTGAAAGAAGGCTGTTTTGCAGAAGGCAAAACCAAGGACAACCATTGGGAAGCCTGGTGGGAGCTAGAGGAAGGAGGAGGGTAGGAGTTGTGAGGGCACCTACAGAGAGAAGATTATTCACATTTTCCATTCTTGGATTTGAAAGCCTGTTCCAAAAAATCAGTCCTTCGTATTGCATACAGCTACCCGCCAGTTGCTCCCTAGGTGTCTCTGAATCACATCTGCCTCATTTACTGACAAAAGCAACTCGTTATTTCAGCCAGCACAGCACAGCCCATCAAGCTGGGAAAGTGGGAGCTGCAGCCAGTGATGTCTTGTGCATCATCAACAACCGCTACCTAAGTGCTGATTTGAGAACCATTATATCAGGGGACGACGGATGATGGCCAGGGAACACGGCTTGATCCTCACGTCGGCAGGCTGAGCTTGTGACCCTGGTAGTTGTTGAGAGCTAAAATAACCCACCTGCATCTGCTTCCTTCCAGAGAGGTGTTTGCTGGGGGAAAAAGTGAGCACTGTATCCAGTCCCTACAGAGCTGCGATTTTGTCAATATGAAAATCAATCAATCAAACCAATAAGGTTATATGTTATATAAGGTTAGTTTGTCAATATTAAAATAAATGAAATCAATAAGGTTATGTATATAACCTTATAATATGTAATAATCTTATTAAAATAGATATAAAATGTTCTGCTTACTAACAGACACAGAGATGTAAGGTCAATGCCATCATCAGATCTGGGGCACATTCCAAAAGCAGAATTGCAAGCAACATTAGGGAAGGAGAAGTAACTCATTCTCCACATGGGAAAGTCTGCGTTAGTGAACTTGGCAACACGCAAGCACTTGAGAAAGCCCAAGTGATGGGAATAATGCGTACCAGATGGACACTCAGCAGCACAGAGGAAACCTACTGCTGAATGGCTATGGGGAGATTTTGCTGTCATACTGGAAAAGAAGTGGTGCTGGCTTGCACACCACATGCTGAAGTCATTGGGATATTTTGGGATCATGCAGATCTGCATTTTTTAAGGCCTGCATATAAACGCATATAAATCAATGCCCATCGAAGGCAGTAAAAGGACTCCAAATGATTTTATGTCCACAATCTAACATGCTTGAAAGAAGAAAGTAAGGCTGGGAAGAAAGAAGAGTTGTGAGTGGCCAGAACTGGCAGTCTTGGAGAAGTGGAGAAGAAAGGCACTGATGGACCACGAGGCCACCCAGCCAAGGAGGAGTCGGCACTTCCAGGAAAGTGAGTAAACAGCTCTTGGTGACACCGAGGCAATGAAGTCCACACACATAGGTGACACTGTGAAAATAACTGCCACTGTGATGTGTAAGTTGAGTGACAGAGAGCTAAATTACTGAAAGAGGAATGAACGAGCAACTCTCACCAGCAAGCCCATCCAGGACAGGTGCTGGGATTGGACACACCTTGAGCACGGAGAGCATCCATCTGCCAAAGACACCGCGCAGATGGAACCCCTCCTGGAACCACCTGTGCAAACAGGAACGCAGCCAAGAGCCGCTTCCTTGCATACTTGTTAAGAAATCAGATTTCTGAGAGCTGGACGCTTACAGTAATCCTGCAAGGAGAGCTCTAAAGAACTTAAACTTCTCTGGCTGAAATATCTGTAAGGGAAAAGACTTAGCAATAAGACTTAGAAAAATATTTTTAGTGCATAGCTCAAATACAAGCGCAAGAGTATTGCAAGTGTTGTGGTCCTTTCTACCCCACCACTGCTGCCAAACAGTGTCTGCAGCAATCCTTAGAACATGAAATCCTGAAAAGTTTGACTATGAAAGACAACAAGAATAGCAGTAATAATGATCCACAGCTATGCTGGACACTCCATACATACTTTCTGAAAGCACAGCGTATATAAGAATGGTCAGAGACCTATGGCTTGTAACACTTAAAAGGTGGACCAAGCAGACCATCACCAAGGGAAACATGAGCTCTTCCCAAGAAAGACAGGATAAGTAGGAAAAAATTAATCGCTGCTGGAATTCTTGTATCAGAATAAAATTCCTCCCAACCAAGAAGCTGGAGAAAGAGTAAAGAGAGGATGTTCCCCAGCTGCTAGAAAGAAACCAATGGAAAGATCCACCTTCTCTCCCAGAAATGGAAGGAAAGTGGGCAGAGAAAGGATTAGGCTGTGCAGCTGCATGGCAGTGCTCAGCGTGGCTGCACACGCACTCCCATGGCAGAGAAGCCCTTAAAACAGAGCTAGCTTCAGATTAGTGGTCTGGTCTCCAGCCTCTGCAGTACATTGTGTGCTCCTTACTGCCACTAAACAGATAGATCGGAGTACTGCACCGAAGACAAACCACCAGAAAAGCACGACAGTGTGCGTCATACTTGCTCTTCATTAATTTATGCTGATGCTGAGGGATCTTAGCAGGCAGGAGGAGTTATGTTTGAGAAAACCACAGGACACAGCAAGTTCTCCTGGTTTACTATCTGTACACCAGAGCTCTTACACAGGATTTCAGGTGTTTATATCCTGACTAGTGAACACCTTTGGATTTCCCCACGAAATTCCTTTTCACAAGCACAGCTGCACTGCCTATCAAGTTTGACTTTTCAGCAGTTTATCAGATCCAGCTCAGGTTGCAGCTTTTTTTTCCCCTAAACACCCCATATAGCAACAACTCAAAGACACTTCCTGTCGACTCCAGAATAAAGTATTCTGGCTTGATAACCACTCAACCTGCAGCTGCAGAACTCTGCCCAAGCCATAATTGTTACTTTAGGAGCTGGAGCAGCCCTCCAGTAAACATCTAATTACCATTCACTGCACACGCAAAGCAGAGCCGTGTTCATTCTGAGCAGCCCCAGCAGGCTTGGTTTGAAGATTTCACTGTTCTTCAGGAGATCTAATTTGCAAGGATTCAGACAGGACTCTCTGAAATCCCGGTGCATTAGGCATTGCCTCCTTACAGCTACCCCAGGCATCGAGAGCTGCTCAGTACCCACAGCAGGTGAAAGAGGAACGGCTCCAGCCAGACTTACATCAGCCACGGGGATGAGAGCATCAGCCAGGTGCCCAATTCGGTTCTTTCTGTACAGCCAGGACATCAGCAGTATCCCCAGAGCCACATCAATCAGCAGAGAGACAAAGATGTTGGCTTTCCTGCATGCAAGATAAAAAGAAACAGTGTTAGAGCAAAAGGAAGGACGGCGTTTCATGTTTCAATGACAATTGTCAGCTTCCCTTACATAGCATCTTTAATGTCCCAGGGACACCGGGACAATTTACTGAAGGGCCATGGTGTAGACATCTTTTGCTGCTACTTCTGTGGGCAAACACGGAGCCACTCGGAGCCTGCCACACCACAAACCCCTTCTGAGTAAGGGGGGTGAAGGGTGGGATTGGAGCTACAACGAGGAATGTCAGACAAAGTGTGTATAGATACACTCGGGGGGGATTTACCAACACTAAGGGCACCAGCACCTGGAGCTTCCACACTGAGATCAGCTGGCTTTCCAGGAGGTACACTTTAGCTGAACCACTAGTTAATGTAAAAATAGTGTTTCTGGGTACACAAATGTACCCAGAAGGGCTGCTGAACAGCCCCCTCACTGCTAGAGTTTCTGAACGAAATTCCACGACGTGAGTTATTTGGGAAATCAGATTAAACAATCACAGTTACTTCTGGCCTTCAAATCTGCTAATCTATTTTAAGTGTTCCCTGGGAGCCTGTTACTGCAGGATCAGAGAACCACACGGAACAAGCCTCGCTGTGTAATGGCCACGGGGCATTCAATATCTGTCTCAGATCTCTGCCTCTCCCTCTTCCACTCACCGTGCTGCCTGTTTGCCTTCTCTGTTACGCTGACTTTGTTACTGCTCTCGGAGTCTCTGGTCTGCAGTCACCCCAAGAAAGATTCCCCCAAAAGAGCAGGGGAAAAGGGGAGCATTTAAACTGTTCTGCTCTTCTGGAAAGTGCCACTGAATCCCGATTGAAGTTTTTGGTTAACAGCAGCATCTGTGAAAGCAGTGACCTTGTGGGAGCAGTGACAGCAAAGCACTGCACACATGGGTGCAGCACAAGCCTTCCATGGGCAAGATCCTGGTTGCCTTTCCCAGGCTAGGGAAAAAGGCCTAAATCTGGCAAAAGGCATAATTAATACAAACAGAGTGCAGAGTAAAGATCTGCAAACTAGCAGGGACTAGAGCAAGCAAGGCAACGTGACATGGTGCAGCGAGGACCCTGTAGCGCTGTGCGGGCACAGGATCCACGGTTTGGGTTCCCCAGAGGAGACAGGGCTAGAGCAAAGACACGCATGAGGTTATGTGTACTCCGTACCTCATTAGCTGAGCCTGGGTCTGAGCCTTCTTGTTGCTGCTGATGAGCTGGAGGTGCTGCAGGCGATGTCCCAGCTGCTCACAAGTTGAGAGTTTGCTCCATAAGAAAGACAAAGGCCAGACCTTCAGCACCCTGCGGAAACACCGTGGGAACGTCCCCTTTTGCCTCTGCCATCGAGCAGGATGCACAGCAAACAAACTCCAGGCAAAACATTCGGTGTAAAGTTAAGGTTGTGCAACCAGAGACAGTCAACATACGATCATTAAAGAATATGAGATGTTAGCCACTCTCTTCAAGGTTAACAGAATTAAGGCAGCCTTTCCAGATCAAGACATCTAAAGGTGACACCCCAACCTCCCATTTCCATTCTGTAAAACCAAGTGCCTCGCTCTTCCCAGGAAGCCAGAATGCAATCCTGATCCCACCCTGTGCTTCGGGATACCCCAGTGGGACTGCATGCCGCTCCGAGTCTCCAGGAGACTGGAGTCAAGGCAGTTGTGTGCACACCACAACAACACAACATGGAGCAACCGCTCCACAAATCCCAATACCACAAGGCTCTATCTACCGTGAGCACAGTTTCTGGCCCTTTCTCCCTCTTTTATCTTCCACTCGATCCTTTTCTTCTTTTTCTCTTCATTACTTCCGAATTTCTTTGTCAGGGTCTTCATTTCTGTCTTCTCTCCACTGCCTTGCCAAGGGCAACACGACATTTAGCATTTAAGTAGGTTTCAAAGCTAACATCCACACTAGGCTTGTAGGGGAGGAAGTATTCACATGGTTCTATTTTTATGACTCAGAAGAAAAGTACTAAATGATGCTCAATTATTTTTGGGAGTTTGTTTTATTACCACACAACCTATGAAGAAAGGAACGACGGGGATTTGTGTAGTCTAAAATGATACCACTGGATGCAGGCTGGTCCAAGAACGCTCAGCAGCGGTACAACAACACAAAGCACCGTGTTTGTTGAATAAATTCTGATGTGGACATAATTTGGATCACTTCTTTCCTGTACACAATGGTTGGTTCACTATTTTCACAGCGTTTCACTGTTTCTTATTAAGGGTCTAGGTATCTATATTCTACTCCTTCACCTACTCTTATCGCTTTGGCATGTTCCTTCAGTTTACATTCATTCCAAACGCTGAAATTATTCCTGGTATCCTGCTTCACTTTTGAAATTGCCCAGCTGTTTGGATCATTAGTGAGCACGGCCTGGAGACGTCCCTGCGAAGCGTGCGTGCCTCCCCAGGTTTCATCTGGAGGACCTCAGCCTGCCGTCCCGCAGCAGCGTGCCATCGGGACCGGCCAGGATCAAACGCAGGATGGGCAGACTGGGGCTCCGGCTGCTCTTTGGACATTTTACACAAATCACAAAGGTATGGCTCGCTGGGTTCACTGTGGTTGCTATCTCCTTCCTCCCCCCATCCTCCTGAGCCATCCTTCATGCAAGGTTTGTCAGCTTTAAAAATAGAGGGCTGAAGCCCCCCCTTCCCCTCCCCATCCACATTTCAGATCCATTGGTTCTGAAACACATGCAGTGTGCTGTGAATCATTCTTCTTAATTTGAGGCTGCCGAGTTACTCAGCCCTTCCTTACAGCCTCCCACCTTGGAGACAAATGAACGCGCTGTTCCTCAGCTGACGTGTCAGGAGGTGATATCTGCAGCGGCGGAGGAAAGAGCGTGGGGCAGGGGGGGGAGACATGGTGGGCGACCGCACTGGCCACCGATCTCCAACACCTGGGTTCACAAATTCACCAAGGCACCAGTGCAGATGAGTTTTCTCTTCCAATTATATCCTAGCCCAGTGGTTACAAATTCCGGTCTGGCAAACCTTTGTGAGAGCAGAGAACTGCAGGTGAAATGCAAAGAAGGGGGAAGGAGAAATGCTCTGTCCGTGTGGTTATGTACAGACGACTGAAGGTGAAAAATTACCGGTCAAGCCACCAGCTGCCAGACCATCTCAGTTCAAGCAGAAAGCAGCGGCTCCAGGGCTCTGTGCTGAGCACTCCCCGGGCTGGCCATCTCCCCCTCCTCTCCCACAACGCACGTCTCCCACCATTCACTCCCCAAACCCAGGGCAGCCAGCTTGGGGGTCACCCACCGACCAGACACCCCCTGTCTCCCACACCGAAGGACAGGCTGCTGCTCTCTTCTGCCCGAGGAATGTCTTGCACAAGTGAGAATGATTTCCAAGGCAGCCTCATCTCCAGGAGACCCCCCAACACGTGCACCAATGGGTAAACTCATCATCTTGACCGAACAGGATGGGCCCAAAAGACACAGCAGAGGTCTGTGCTTGTCCGTGCTACGACTGATTCTCTTTTCTTTTCACTTAACATCAAGAGGACCACCTCTATTCCCCTTACATACTTTCTTCGGAAAGTAAATACATACATACTTGCTTAAATCAAAACACAAACACACTGTAAAAAGCTCTGTATAATGGTTGCAAGATGTGCAATGGAAACTCCCATCTCTAAGAGCACTGACGAAGAGAGCCAAAAATATTTCTTGCATGGTCTCCTACCCCTTTGCATACCGACTATGCGTTGCCATAAATGCTCCCACTTGTTTACCACACAGTCTATGGAATGATTTTCAGAAGCGCAATGGAAAACCAACCAAATTTAAAAAAAAAAAACCCAAACCAAAACCAGTGATGTTGTGTCACTGCATTATTTAAGCAGCAGGAGATCTCTGGAGTATTTCCAAATATAAGGAATTTTAGCAATAAATTAACATAGCCTGCATGAATAAGTCATGATTTTCCAATCCAAGTTTTTCCAAAAGCAAGAGTGGATTTTTCCAGATATTGGATGGAAAGCAATCTTTCCAAACCAGGATCACACCCAAATGTTACAGCTCCATTAACCAGAACCTCCGGCTGTCCTTTTGCTCCGCTGCAGGAACAGTGCCTCCCTTCTGGATGAGGAATCAGAGGTCACAGTGTTTGTAAATGTATTTTTTTTAAAAAGGAGCACACAGTTTATTGCCTCAATACTAAATCATCCTGCTGTCCCCAACAGCACACTCGAGACCTTCAGCGGTAACGGAAATCCTGCAGGCAAGTCCCTCTGCAGAGAGCACTGCAATGGCCCCCCCTTAGCACAAGGTGGTGCTGAAGAAATGCCTTAATTTGAGATGTGCAGGAGCTGAGAGCACTTTGCCAGCCTGGATGGATGTCAGTGCTCACCTTCTGAGATGTCTAACTCTGCTGTCCTGCCTCCCCAGCGCAAACACACAACGGCGGCATGTTCAAAAAAGCCCCAAGCCTCCGCAGCCAGAGAGGACATCCCTGATCTCTTTCTTCAGCTTTTCAAAGCTGAGCATCCCTTCCCATTACTAAAAGCTGGGAAAGAAAGAAGTCTGGTAACCAGAAGCAGCAAAAACCTGATAGATCCTATTTTATGGGCTGTCCTGTCCCAGCACAGGGAGGAGGGGACTGGAAGGACACCTTCAAGTAATATCCTTGAACCCTCCCTGCCTTGTGTGTGTTGGCACAAAGGAGCTTGTACCACAAATCACGGGGTAAATTGAACCAAATTACATCAAGTGACTAAGAAAGGCAGGCAGGAGGTTTGTCATAAAGCCAGGTGCTAACCTCTGTTCTCTAAGACTGATGTTTTAAAACACCTGTAAGATAAGTAAATGTCATGTTGATACAATGGGTAAATAAAGCAGAAAGAAATGTGTATCTACCTCTCAAGGTTAGGACCAAGCTCAGCCTAGGTTTGCGCACAGCAAGCCTCGCGTTCTGCCTGCTGGTAGGTACAGCTGGCTGCCAGCCCGGCTGCTGCTCTGCCTCCAAATGTCCATGCTGGGCTTAGGAAAAGCTGAAATCAGAATAGCTGCTGATAAGCTGGGTAGCGGCTAACTGCGCCCAACCTGCCAGACTCAGCTGGAGCTCCCAAGTTATGCTTCAGCTGTGGCCTCCCAGAGACCTGCGAGGCTTGGGCTTAACCCGACTCTCAGCCTGGTCGGAGTCCCTGATCCAGGTGGACAGGTCTGACCTTGAGACCAAGCACCCCCCAGAAAAGGATCATCCTGTTTGTTGATAGTCACACACAGTCCCTGGACAGCCAGAAAAGGACCTTCAGAGCTGACTGCCCATCTTCTACCCAACCACAAAGTCATGATTTAGTTACCATTAACAACTATTAACTTAGTTACCATTAACAACCATTAACCATAGTCAGTGTCTACAGAGCAGTCCCAGGAACCAGGGGTCCCTGACTGTATCAGGTTTGGGTTTGACCCTAAATGTCTTCCAATAGAGTCATCCAAAACCGGACAGTGTTCCCTTTGTGTACCAAAATGCGTAACCCAGCTGTTCAGAAAATCTTTGCGTACAAAGAGTTTCCACTGTAACTTTTTACGACAGTATCATACAACTGGAAACATGTTAAAAGACTCCATTCCCCATAGCCTTAGGCTGCACTTGAGAAGATTTATCTATAAATACATTAGTAGCTGTTATCCAAATTTCATCAATCAAAGTGTCCCCTTGCAGCTGGGAAGCTGAGCTCCCCTCCCCTCTCCAGCACAGCCTCTCCAGGCAGGCTGACCAGACGTGTTATTAAGCCTTACACGCAGAAGCTTCTCCCCTTCAAATCTGCTCAGAGCTCCTTTTCAGTGTGAGCACTTGCCGTGCATTAAATTTGCAGCATCCTATGCAGTTTCACCATTGTGCAATGGGATTTCACCCCGGATTCCTGCAGACCAGCATTCCTTGTCACCATGTCTGAGGAAGCCTTTAGCCTCACGTTTTCCATGGAGCTCTCCAAACGTTAACAGCAGCTCTGCAGCAGCCTGCTTCCAACAGCAGGTTTATCCAGGGGTGTCTCTGCCTGCTGTTGCCTGTGGAACCTGACACACCACTGTTCTATACTGGGCTGGTTTGTGGCTGTGGTGGGACTGACACGAGCAGCAGCCCCTCCCTCCACCCTTCTCACAACTGAGACTCGTATCAGCTGGTTCGCCTGTAACCCCACTTTGGCATCACAGCTCTGTGTCCTGTCCTGTGGTCACATAAGGTCCCTCAGCCTGACCACAGCCTGCTGGACTGTGCCGCTGGGGTTCTAGTGCGTAAGAGGGGCTGCACTGTGGCTAGGACCACCCGGCAAGGACCTCTTCTCTGAGAAGCTCCACAGTTCACCTCTCAGCTCGAGCCCTGCTCCACAGCCCATACCTGTTGTGTCACCTGCTGTACCATCTAAAGGCCCTTTTACACACCGGTGATCTCAGAGACCAGAAAAGCAGATACCCAAGAGGCACATCAGGTCCATAAAAACACAGGCAGTACCAGGAGATACGATGTGACTGGTACTGATGAAAGAAATGACTTTGGATCGACTATTTCTTACTGCAGCTGAGCAGCAACCCTGCAGATCACAGAATCCCAGAATGGTTTGGGTTGGAAGGGACCTTAAAGCCCACCCAGTGCCCCCCCCTGCCATGGGCAGGGACACCTCCCACCAGCCCAGGTTGCTCAAAGCCTCATCCAGCCTGGCCTTGAACCCCTCCAGGGATGGGGCATCCACAGCTTCTCTGGGCAACCTGGGCCACTGCCCCACCCCCCGCACAGGAAAACATTTCTTCCTCACATCTCATCTCAATCTCCCCCCTTTTTGCTTAAAAACATTCCTCCTCGTCCTGTCCCTGCACCCCCTGATCCAGAGCCCCCCCATCTCTCCTGTAGCCCCCTTTCAGCACTGGAAGGTGCTGGAAGGTCTCCCCGGAGCCTTCTCTTCTCCAGGCTGCACACCCCCAACTCTCTCAGCCTGTCCTCGCACGGGAGCTGCTCCAGCCTCGGACCATCTCCGTGGCTCCTCTGGCCCCGCTCCAGCAGCTCCGTGTCTGTCCTGTGCTGAGGACCCCAGGGCGGGGGGGAGCACTGCGGGGGGGGGTCTCACCAGAGCAGAATAGAGGGGCAGAATCACTAAACATGCAGAGCGGCAGATGCCTAACCATGAACCACATTTCCACGCAAAACACCAGCTGGTCGATGTCGCATCACTCACCTGCTCCTGCAGACCCCAGCGATCAGTGACAGCAGGAACGTCAGCAGCATGCACGCAGGCACAGCTGCCTGCTTCAGCAGCTCCACGATGATACTGGCCTCAACGCCGTCCGACTGCCAGTGGGTGAGCTTGATGGGTCCATCGTCGTACCTGTCTGTCATGAACAGCACCTTACTCCTCGCAACGGTGTCGAAGATGGCCGAGAGCTTTGAAGTGTCATCTGCGGTGTGGTCAGTGGAGGTGGCTGTGTCCAGAGGGGGATGCAGATGGGAAAGCATGACTTTGCGCTGGTCATAGTACACCAAGATGATTTCTTCCTCCTTGGGGTTGTTCGAGTGCTTCTGAAGGGTGGAACAGCTCCAGAATTTGCTGTCTCCCTCTTTGCTTATCTGAATCCATGGCTCATGGGTGAATATTGTCCCCAGGTCTTCCAAGAACTTACTCAGACTCTCTTCCTTCTCCTGTTTGCTGTTGCTCCAGGAGCCGAGCACAGAAACATTGACTTTAGTCACTCGCTGCACTTCACTGAGATACTGCTTCACCTGGGCAGGAATAAAGGGGAAATGAACCACGGCAAGGATAACGGCAGAGTTCTGTTCCGAGATCCAGCGGCCGATTAAAATGCCACTTTCTGCCAAGGAGCAGCATGACGGAAAGAAGACCTTAAGTACCATGGCAGTGACTCTGGAAGAACAGTACACCTGCCAATAAACAGAGAAAAAAAACTTGAGAATGGCGATTAAATGCAAGGAAAATTTGAGCTGACGCAGGTCACCAGTGAGCGGGCCCAATCAAGTCTGAAAACACCAAGTCCAACCACTGGCATAACGACATTAGTGACAGCGAACAGATACACACACCTCAGAGGGGTATTTAGGAGGTTCCTGATAACCCGCGGTCTTTGAAGAGAGGGGTGGCGAGCCTGGAGTTTCTTAGCAAAGCCCTGCTCTGAGCCCTGGAGCAGTCTCTCGTGATGGCACACTGACAGGCACAGCCCATCAGACCAGCCAAGATCAGAATCCATCCAGCCTCGGATCCTGGATCCGACACTGGAGGCACCTGAGCCCTTCCTAGAGAAGGGACTGGCAGCAGCACACCATGATACCTCTGGGGAGTATTTCCTTCTCTTACCGACAGTCAGTGTTGGTTTATGCCATGAAACCAGATAATTTCCAAGCCTCCCTTATCATCTAGGAACCCTGAGCTGTGCTCTGCAACAACCGTGGTCAGATCTCTCATCTCCTCCTGTCTCACTCCCCTCATCTGGAAACAGAGACGATAATTTTGTCAAAAGGGACTATAGCGATGAATTCATTGAAGTTTACACCGTAGTTTTAATTCATGAGATACGAGATCCTATAAAAGGAGAAGAATCTCTGCTTTACCAGTGCTCTTTACCTACAATCTTTTTCTTCATGCTATTAAGAAAACACCTTCAATGGCTTTGTAAGACTTGTACACAAAGGAGCTCTGAGGCAGTTGACAATGTCTCTTTAAATAAGGTGGACGTTTCTAACAGAAATATAATTGCAGTAAGGAGGGCGCTGGCGCAGAACAGTCGGCATCCGGTGCCCGTTGTCCTTTCCCGTCCTTCAGTGCATTGTTAGAGATGTGAAAACTCCGCAGGCCCCCGGGGCTGGCTCCTCTGCGAGGGACCCAGTCAGTCGGAAAGAGGAACACGGAGCGTATTATAACACGGAGAGAGAACGCGCAACATGGAGGTCCCTGGTGGGTTTGTTTTTCTCTCTTTTTAATACAGGAGAATTGATCTAGTAAATTCCGGCACCTGGCAATCTGTGATGGCACGGAGGAGGCGATGGGGAAGCAGCAAAGGCGAGTGCTGAACCTCCTCCCAGCCCCACAGCCCTGCCAACCACAGCAGTAGATCTCTGCTCACGGATGAGCTGTCAGCCCCTCGAGGCACCAAGGTGAAGTTTCCTTGGCGCTCAGCTCGCTCCTCTGATGGGAAAAGCATCACAGTCGCTGCATTTGCAAGGAGTAATATTTTTTTTCCCTAGGACTGAGTTTTCCCTTTTACTGTAAAACTCCAAAGCACACCCCAGACTTGCCCTCAAACGGGTGCAAAGGTGCTCGGGAGGGATTTTGTTGGCAGCGTTCCTGGGTGCTGAGGGCAGCGAGCACCGTCCCTCGCTGCCCCAAAGACCCTCCAGCCCCTGGGGAGATGCCATCTCCCCCTCTGCGACCAGGGGGATAACCTCAGAGACACGGACTCTGCGAGGAGGCAGGATTTCAGGGGAACCTCAAATAATACGTGTTTTACCAAAGGATTGCAAGCCTCCAGCAGCAGGGGAAGGGAAGCAGAAAGATGTATCAAAGGAAGGGGAGAAAAACAGCAGAGGTGACACCCCGAGACTGTAAGGGTGCAGGACACCAGGCATGGGGAAGACCAAAGACGTGCAGTGCAACTGAAAAACACCATCTTTCACTGAAGTATAATGACTGTTAGACTCAATCGGACTGAAAACCAAGACATCCAAGCTTGCTTTTCACTTCTATGCTAAGACTCAGGGATTTTTGGTGGTTTTTTTCTGGAAGACCACAAAGACATCGCAGGACACACATCCTGTCTGAAAGAGTTCTTCCTGACACACATAGGAAACTTCAGTGAAAATCAGTTAACAGATACAATTAATCAGATTGGTCCTTAGAAAAGTTTGAAATAAAACCTGTCCTCTACATTTTACTTTTCTTTTAGAAAGACTGCGGTTTGTCCAAGGATACTGGCCAAAATAACCTTCCCTTCACCGCCTCTCCCACCTCCTTGCCTAACTCAGATTGTCAAAGAGACATTATCGGGCGAGATGAGATTTGCTTCATGATTTAGCTTTAGGTTTGAAAAAGGATTTTTGTTCTTTTTCCCCTAAGACCCACAGACATATTCCCAGGAAAAAGGAAATAAATGATATAAATGCAGGGGCTCTGAAAGGCAAAATAACAGATTGAACATGGCAGGGATGTGCATACACGCATATGCTCAGAAATTATTTAAAATTAATATAAATTTAGCTAGATTCATACCATTCTAGCTATACTGCAGCACCAAAACCTTCCAAGTGAAGTATACCAATAACAGAATACTCTGAAAAACTGAAGTTGAGCTTGATACTTTACAGACCCCAGAGAAAAATGACAAAAATAAGTACTTGAATGGGGTTTTTCAGTATTTCTATTTTAATTACCAAAGCCACCACCAGTAATAGTGGACAGATAACACCTTAAAAGTTAATTTTTTATCCTTCTTTTTCCTCAAGAGATGCCACAGCTGTTTGAGAGTATCACTACAAGAGACTTCCAGTGTCTCCGCACGGCTGTCCTTCTTAAAGGTCTGTCCATCCATCGGACATTTCAGAGAAGAATTATCAACTGACTCTTAATTCAAACACTTATTTTTCACTTCTATTTTTTTTCAAGATAGCCACAGTCATCTGGGAAAACTTCTCATGAAGGAGAAACACTTCTCATCCTTTTCTTCTCTAGTTTGTGAGTTTTTCCTCTTACACCTTCCCCAACCTTTTAAATTAATTTAGTTTTACACAGCTAACTGCTCTGGCTATAGCTCAGGTTAAATAATAACTAGGCACATCATCTGTCCTTTGGCGGCTGCAGATGCGGCAGAGAAGACTCAGATACAATTTTCAGGCTGTACAAAATATCTCGATAATTGAAAACCAGCCGATCAACCACTCCTATGTTAATGCGGCATGAGCTGGTATTCCCCCATCCATGACTGGTCGTGCATCCCACTCTTTATTCATTTCAATAGGCTGTTTGAAATCTAAAGCTGACATCTTAAACATCATCACAGTCAATGGTTTCACTGCTGTTAATTTTAACAGAAATATCCTACCGATATGCTCAGCCCGTGCTCATGACGTGCCCAAAGTCTCCCAGATCTGCCCATTTCTGCTGGAGAGCCCCAGCTTTTCCCCGAGAGGCCACATAGCACCAGGGCAACGATCTTGGGCGCAGCAAAACCAACAGACAAAGCCTGAAATGCATCAACGCAACCAACAAATGAAGAAAGGACCCCAGGACCGATTAATTTCAGAATGTTAGACAGAAAAGTGAACGGTGGGACACGGCCCCGGTCTCACCACGCAGGCTGTCCCGTCACCACCAGCTGACCCCTTGGCAAACCCACACCCGAGCATCCTGACCTCCTTCCATGGGGTTTAGGGCCACCAGGCCAGGAGATACAGAAACCACCGTCCCCATGGCTGTCTGGGGGAGCAGGGGCAGGGTTCAACCGCTGGAAACCCCCCAGCCTGCCAGGGCTGAAAGGGGGCTACAGGAGAGATGGGGGGGATCTGGATCAGGGGGGCAGGGGCAGG